TATTCACTGAAATTTTCACTGAAAGTGAAAAATTCGAAATTTTTGAAGAAGTATCAGGGGAACATGACAATCGAGGAGCTATTCACTGAAATTTTTACTGAAAGTGAAAAATTTGAAATTTTTGAAAAACTATCAGGGGAACATGAGCGTCGAGGAGGTATTCAATTTTTAAACGATATTTCGAATGAGTAGCCATTTACAAAAAAAAAAAATAGGAATTATTTTAAATAAAAAAATGACTGTTGGCGGGATCGAACCCTAGCCGTCCGTGTGCCAGCCAAGCACGCTGCCGATTAGACAACGCACTTATTGTAAGAATAAAATTTCATTAGTAGTATATCTTCAATATATTGAATAATTTTTTTCATTTGATATTCCACAAGATGTGTCTTCCCCCTTCCACTCGTTCTCCAGTCGATTAAATTTCAGTAAAACAAATAAAAAAACAAAAAGCATTCATATCGCAGAAAATAAATTTGCATTGCGGGTTTATTTGAATGGATTTCCACTACAAAAATTCGATGCAAATATCTTAAACCTCAATTAAAATATCAATTCAATTAAATTTTCATCACTTCATTATCATCATTATTTATTTAATGTTATTATTAATTTTTTATTGTTATAACTTTGTTTTTAATTAAATGAATTCATAAGAACGCGAGATAAAAACCGATTTTCCACTGTAAAACTTCAATTTTTTCACTAAAAAACAATTAAACAAATTGTTGATGGCTTGAAATACTGCAATATTAACGTGCATACCAATTCGAATTAATTAATATTAAGACGAATCAGTCGAATGGACAGAACAATCTAAAATAAAAAATCCCTCACAACAAACTAACCAAAATAATTACTCCCGAATTCAAAATAACTTTAATAAATAATTTTCAAAATCACTGTCTTCCAGATAGAATAATTAATACAACAAAGCATGGAACAGTAAAACAGTAAATTAGTGACACCCACTAATTAATTGTAATTACTAGATAATTCTACAATTAATTGACTAAAATTAATCAAAACTTGAGTCATTAAATAATAACAAACCGGAAAAACGTCACATTTTTTACGTCAATCCCCCGATAATTTACCCAAAAATGAAAAAAACGTGAGTAAAGAAAAAATCTGTTAATTATTTGTTTAAAAACAATGTAAGACCTTTTTTTTCTTTCACCACATACCAGAAAATGCTTAGTATTCGATATTTCAGACGTTGAGGGAAAAATAAAATTCTTCAGCAGTGGATTCCCATCGAGGGGTGCCGTTCAATAATTAAAGAGAGAATGGAAGGGAGAACCTATTATTACCACCCCCTGGGTAAATATTTGATAGGAACTCTGTGCACGTGTCAATCATCTTCACCTGACGATTGAGGGAGTAAGAATTCGATGCACCTCAAGTATTATCCAATAAAAATCAATTGACTTCACACTCCCATGATGGCGTCAACGAAGAAGGAACGATGGCCCATAAAGATAACGTATTTCTTCCTGTCCCTCGTTGGCTTTGGAGTTGCTGATACAAAAAACAAAAGACAACTGTTGAATATCGCACTGCATACCTCATTGCCCCTGAGTTTGGTGTCCTGTTGGTTTGCTGGATCAAATTTTTACCTGACAATTACAGGAGATGGCGAACTTTCTGTGAGTAATTGGTGAAATTGTCCTGATTCAGGTGATAATGAAGATAAACTTTCGTTAGGATAAAATAGATGCTGCTTTTCTCGTGCTTGTTGTTTTTCTGGCTAATTCTAAATTGTATATGATTGCCATAAAACGACAGCCTTATGAACATCTCCTCGAAGTTACAGACAAGACGTTGTGGATTCAATCGTGGACGGATTATGGAAAAGATGTTTTGGATGAGTGTGAGAGACAGGCGATTGTTGTTCTCTTTGTTTTTGTTATTCTGGGACATGCCTCGGGGGCTGGATGGGTTATCGCACCGTTAGTCTGTGAGGAAATCTCTTCATTATATTTTTTCATTAAATTATAGCATTTTTCTCTCTCCCCTGATATTCTGATCGTATATCCTCAATTTATTCGATTATTCATTAAGTAATAACAAATTTTATTAATCAATTAATTCCTTGATTAATCTATTAGTCTAATCTTATTGTTATTATTGATTTTTAATTTTTAAAACTTTGATATTTTAATTAAGAAAGAAACAAATTGTTCATGGATTTAATCATCTGGATATTAATTTTTATATTAATTCGTATTATTCAATATTAATCCGAATTGAAATGAAAAATATATCACAATGAACTAGTTGTTATTATTATTGTTTATTTAATTTTATTATTCAATTCTTATTTTTATGATTTGGTTTAAATGAAATAAATTAAATAAATAAATTACGAATAACACGAGGTAAAAACAGTATTTCCACTTTAAAACTTAAATTTGTTAATTAAGAAACAATTGAATAAATTAATTAATTCAAACACTGTAATATTAATATGAATATTAATACGAATCCATCGGATGAAGAGAATAAATTAAAATGGAAAATCTTTTATCATGACGAATTAAAAAAATAATTACGAGTTTTGAATAATTTTAATCAATAATTTTTTAATTCATTATTTTCTGCGTAATAAATTATTGATTTTATTGTTGTTTTAGTGAATATTAAGGGCAATAGCAGTGATCCAGATGACCGTCATTTACCTGTCAAACCGATTCTCGGTCCTATCTCTCCATTCGATTCTCCTTATTTCGAATTAATATTCGCCCTGGACGTGAGTTAATACTCAATTATTTTTTATTGCAAACGGCTATTGCATGGAATTGTCTCTAAACAAAAAATTGAAACAATTTTAAAAATTCAATTACACATCGACAAAAAGGAGTGCATGTTTCAATTTAAAAAATCTTTCCCAGTTTTTCATTTTTAATTCAATTGAATATTTAATCTATATTCTCATTATTTATTTATTCTCTTCTTATATATATAGTATATATAATATATTATATTATATTAAATATCTTACCTAAATAAATGGCGACAAAACTTCACGTGAGTTTTTCAATTAAATTTTCGTAGAAGAAGAATTTATACTAGAAGTTTTGCAGAGATTCAATAAAATTTCTCAAGGCAATTATTTTCCTCATGTGAACATTCTTGTTCTAGGTATTTGGAAGCTGGGTGGTAACACTTTTGTACTTCTGCTTCGATTATTACCTCGTCCTGGTGAACATCTTCGTGGTCGGTCAGTTTGGGATTCTTAAACAGAGATTCGAGGATATATACACAGTGGGATCGTTTTCCCTAGTGACAGAATTTCGTCTGAATGATGATAAATATGCTGAAAAATATAAATCAATGGATTATATTCTACGAGAATTCAAGGATTGCGTGAAGCAGCACCAGTTTCTGATTGCCATCGTGGAGGAGGTGGAGGGCGTTCACAAGTTGATGAACCTGATGCAGGTGCTCGTGTTCAGCTTGATCATCTGTATCGTTGGCTATCAATTACTCATGGTACGTGATTTATGGGAGTAATTAATTGTCCGAGTACATTATTCTGTTCTATTCAAGTCAGGGAGTGCAGTGACACTCGTCAAGAATGGAGTATTCATCTCTAGTTGTCTTATCCAACTGTTCGCGATGACCCTCTCCTGCCACAACATCATGATAGCAAGCTCCGATATTTCTCAGGGAATATATTCCTCAGGATGGTACCTGGAGAATCACACCCACGTGGGACGATCTTTGTCCAAGGATTTCATGATGGTCCTGATGAAGACCAAGTATCCGTGCTATCTCACTGGCTGTGGCTTCTTTCCCATCACCCTGGACACCCTAAAATCGGTGAATATTGGATTATCTCTTCTGTACGAACATCGGTAGGAATAATCGTTGCTATTTTAATTCAATTAAAGGCTCAATTAAACATGAGTTGCAGGATATGTTAAGACTAAATAATGTAATTGTCTGCAGATTATCACAACTTCTTTTTCGTACTTGACGTTGATAAGGCAAAGCATTGACGAGTGATTTAGGATATTTAGGCGACGAATTATGGAAATCTTAGTGCGAAATCAGAATGTATAAATATTGCAGAGAAATAAAACGGAAACACATTTGCAAAGGAAATCGAGTCCAGTTCTACAGTTCTTCATTCACTCAAATCGAGATAAACTGATATAAATATTACGATTCAATTTATAAACAAATTATAAGTACTTGCCTGGTATTTATACATTTTGTAGAGAAAAACTTTCCATTCAATTTTTTTTTTATTTATATTTATTCTGTTGTCAAGTGGTGAACTAGGATATGTCGATTTTATTTCAAAACCGGTTTTCTGTCGGTATCTCGGAATTGAACGCGGATAACGATTTTTTTGTAAACACCTTTTTTGTAGCTCTCATCTTTTTTTATAAAAAATGTTTCTATAGAAAAATCGGTGTGTCCCTCCAATTCCGAGATTTTGACGGAAAACTGACATCAAAAAAATACACTTCTGCTAATTCACCACTTCGTTACTTACTTGACTCAAAATAGTTTAGTTTAATTTTAAAAAATCATTCTAAAGAATGTTTTATAATAATTTCACAAATAATCCCCTCAGAGTCTTCGGCGAGAATTCTTTGGGAGTATTCCATTTTTTTTCTATTTAAAAAACTATAATTTCTGTTAGATTTTTCACATTTTGGCCTCAAATTCTGCAGTGAAGTTCCTCCGAGTGGTCGACACAATCTGACAGTTCATCGTGATGTGCTACTATCCACTACAAATCGAGTCTTCCTTTGAAATTCTCTTTGGAGTTGCAAGATGAAAGGGAAAAAAAGTAGTCTGCAAAAATAATGAAGTGGAGGGTATCATTAGCAACACCTCTACTTAAAATAAAATCGTTAATTCCCCTTCGCACGTGTCAATCATTACCACCTGCTAGTTATGGATCATCGAAGGGGAGTCTCCACTGATAGAATAGATTTATAAAATTTATCGTATTCATGTCATGACGTCAAACCTTCGGAGGCAGTGGCCCATCAGGGTAACGTATTTTTTTTTGTCATGCGTTGGCTTTGGAATTGCTGAAACTAAAAAAGACCGGAGACTTTTAAATATTTGTCTCAGTGCATGTCTGCTCCTCAGTATTGCATCCATTTATTTCTCAGCTACTAATCTCTATATCAATTACCAACGTGGAATTATCTCTGTGAGTCTGCGATGAGATTTTCGGAATGAATCAATTAAAATAATTAATTTTTATTAGAAAAATTGGGGTAGTGGTGAAGATGAGTCGATTTTTTAAGAATATCTTGGAATCTAAAGGAGACAGACACATTTTGCTTGAGACCTTTTTTGTAGAGTGCGATGAGTGCTATAAAAAAGATATCAACAAAAATCGGATATCTCTGGTAAATTCAGAGATATCCCTCGAAAACTTGGGGTTGATGAAATCGACTTGTTTCAATTTATCAATTAAAATCTATTAATTTATCGATTAACTTTAAAAATAAGGTTTTAATGAATTATTTCAACAGGACACAATCGTCGCTTCGTTTCCTCTTCTGACCTCGACCCTCACCCACGTCAAGCTGATATTATTTATTCGTCAACGAGGGCCTTATGAACGACTCCTTCGAATAACGAATGCGACATTGTGGATGGAATCATTCACAGACCATGGAAAAATAGTTTTAAAAAATTGTGAACAACAGGCGAAGCTCTTTCTGTTCATCTTCGTCATCCTGGGACATGCCTCTGGGGCTGGATGGATTTTTGAACCGTTAATCCGTGAGGAAACAGCTCTATGAAAAAATTAAAAATTAAACTGCAATTTCTCAATTCCAATTATTGTTCACTGGACGTTAATTAATGTTATTATTCCTATTTATCTTGCAGTTAACATGAAGGCCAACAGCAGTGCTCCTGATGATCGTCATCTGCCCACTGAAGTCATTGTCGGGGTGCCTCTCTTTGAATCACCCAATTACGAAATTATTTTCGCAATTGATGTGAGTAATTCTCCAATTATTATTGTTCTATATCAATTATCATTATTATCAACGATTTATTATCATTAAGTCTACCCTTAATGAAAGATAAGATTGAATTGGGATTGAAATTAGTTGTAGATTTATTTATGTATTTTTTATTGTATATTTTTCGAAAAATTGAATTTTAGGAGATCAATGATCAATAACTCAATAACTCAAAAACCGCCGAATGTAATCGAATGATTTTTGATCTATTTAAAATTCGAATAACGATCTTCAAAATAAGATAAAAATCGTTAAATTTCACTCAACCAATCTCTCGTTATCAGCGATTGAAGACCTTCCACGGTCCCCCACTCTCCCTCCAATGAACCACTAATTAACAATCAATGGATAACAATTGAGTGATAACGAAATATTTTTCTAGGTACTTGGAGTTTACATAATAACAATATTGTACTTCTGCTTCGATTATTACCTAGTTCTAGTGAACATCTTCATCGCAGGTCAGTTTGAAATCCTCAAGCGAAGATTCGCGACGATTTACTCAGTAAAATCCGTCCAATTAATGAGAGAGAGTCAGAAAAATATGCAAAACGGACCGATCAACGATATTTTTAAGGAATTCAAAGATTGCGTGATGCAGCATCAATTTTTAATCTTCATCGTCGACGAGATCGAGAGCATTTACAACTTCATGAACCTAGTGGAAGTGATCATGATCAGTTTGATTATCTGTCTCGTTTCGTATCCACTCCTCATGGTACGTCGTAATTTTTTATAATTAACAATTGATTGCAACATTTGGTTTTGTTCAAGCCTGGGAGTGCACTGACTGTTGTGAAAAATGGAGTCTTCGTTTGCAGTTGTCTTGTTCAACTTTTTACCTTCATCCTATCCTGTCATAACATCATGGTCTCCAGTTCTGATCTCTCCAATGGGATATATTTTTCGAGATGGTACGAGAATTATCAGGACATCGGACGATCGTTGTCCACGAGTTTTATGATTGTATTCGTGAGGACTCAGTGTCCCTGTTATATCACTGCATGGGGATTCTTTCCTATTACAATGGATACTTTAAAATCTGTGAGTATTCTATTGAATTTATAATTGCAGTTGCTATTACATACTCAGTAATTTTTTTTACACGTTTCACTCCAGAAATCACGAGCTGTCGTAAAATTTTTGACGATTAATTAAGGATTCAAGTAATTAATCTGATGAAAATATCGGAATTTTTTAATTTAGATTCGTAAATTCGTTTGAAATTCATTTTTATTAAATAATTATACATTTATTTGTTTATATTGCAAAATTTTTATGGATATATCAATTTAATTAGTTTATTCATTACACGAAATGATTTGAGAGATAATTTAATTGATTTAGATTATTTAATTTAATTTATGATGAGGATTTGAAAATTTTACATTTTTGAATGTGAAATTTGGACAGAATTATTTTTCAAATAATTTGTTAATTCCTTTGGCAGATTATTACAACATCATTTTCATACCTGACTTTGATGAGACAAAGCATGGAGTAATGAGTAATTGATTTCTAAATTACACAGAGAAGAGAAAACAAAAAAATTGATAGAAGAAGAATTTGTCACTAATTTCTCCAATTTGTACTAGTACATGGCCCATAAATTCAAGACTCGAATGCAATTAAACTCTGCATAAACCAAAAAGTGCAATTGAATTAAATCCCAAAACTTTCCTAATTCTCTATTTCCTCCCCCCCATTTTCTCATTCAATTAATCAATTCCCAAAAAAGGAAATTCCAATTACCTCATCGTTTTTTTCGGGAATATCTCGAAAACTAGAGGAAATATAGAAATTATCATAATCACCTTTTCCGTAGATCTCAATGAGTTCTACAAAAAAGGTATGAACAAAAATTTCGCTATATTCATTAGATCACGAGATATTCCCAAAAAATGGAAGATATTCTGAGAGAAGTTTTGCAGAAGTTTTTGCAACTTCGCTTGATAATTGTAAAATAATTGTAAAAAAAGGAGAGGTGGAGTGTAAATTCAATACAGGAGTTGCTGGAGGGATGGGGGTGGCAACAAAGTGATCAGATGTTACCCTGGGATCATCGTCAGCTGTGCAGTACTCTGGGATCATTGATAATTAATGCGAGCTGGTGCATAGAGTTCTAGAGATCGAGAAATTTTTCTGATTTCACTGTCAATCATCTTCATGCAGACGAAGAGGCGCCGGAATTAATCAATCGAATAAATTCCATTCCACTCGTCATGACTGTGGAGATACCAGAGCAATGGCCTGTTACATTGATTTATTTTTTCTTGTCCTGCGCTGGCTTCGGAATCGCTGAAAACAGGAGTCAGAGGAGAATTTTAAATATTTCCCTCGCGATTTTTATTACGATGTGCGCTGTGGCTATGTACGTCATGTCGATGAATTTGTTGTACAATATTCGCGAAGGGAGTGACAGTGTAAGTGATAAACCCGACAGGAGGAAAATTCGTTCAATTTATTTCGTCTTCAGTTTCTGATTTATTTGGATAATTTTTCCAACGGAAATTTCGCGCGATTTTCGAAAGAGAAAAATCAAAAAATTGGCGGTATCCAGGAAATTAAAACTCGCGGTTGAATTTCGAAGTTTTGGAAGGAATTCGAATTTTTGTTAATGATTTATTTAAAGTTGAACGGGAAATTGTTGAAATTCAAAATTCAAATGTTTTTTTTATTTTGAAAAATATCAAAAAGAGAAGAAGCAATTGAATAAAATTTCATTTGAGAATTTTAACTGTTCAATTATTAAAAATTTCATGCAATTTTGAAGTTGAAAAATCGAGACCGTGGCAAATTTAATTTATTAAAAATTAAAAAGAAAACTCTGAAATGAATAAATTCCTTTTCAAAAAAATGCATGACAAAAAAAATCAACAAATAACTCAATTAAATGAATATAACGGTATCAATAATGATTATCTGATTTAATTATGGCATTGAAGTAAATAAATTTGCATGTAATCAACATTTTAGTGCAATCTACAAAAAATTCCTTTTCCAGCAAGAAATTCTAACAATTCTATTCTCAACTGTAATTGCTGCTCTCGTGACCTTCAAATTGATTTCATTTTTGACAAGACGTACGGCATACGAGGGACTTTTACTAATTACTCGAGAGAAATTATGGAGGAATTCCTGGACAGATTACGGAATACTAGTGCTGGAAAAATGTGGACATCAGGCAAAAGTCTTTCTCTTCGCTTTTGTAATTATAGGGCATATTTGCGGAGCAACTTTCATCCTAGAACCAATTTACCGTGAGTAAACCCCAATTGCAGATATCAATAATAAAAACATGATAATCACTCAATTAATTTTTATGCAATTAACAATAACAATTTCACTTTATTCCGAGTAATCCAATAGATTTAATTCAATTAATTCACTTATTAGATTAATAATATCATTTGTAATAATAATTTTATAATTAATAATGCAATAATTGATATTATATTGTTAATAAACAATTATATTATTGATTGATGTGTAATGAATTTTTATTTTTACATTTTGTTATTTACAAGAGTGGAAAATAGGAAAATTGAAATAAAGTGGATAACTCGTTTTTTTTTATTCATTATTATTAATTGTTAATTATGATTGTTCTGGAAAACTTTGGGATACGTTTTTTTTTAAATAGAATATTTTTGCGGTTTTGTTTTTTAATTGTAATTTGGTTTCAGTGATGAGGAATGAGAATATTACAAGTGCGAGTCATCGTCGATTGCCTTTTGAAATAAGAATCGGTCTCCCCGGACACGAAACTCCATATTACGAATTATTTTTCTTCATCGACGTGAGTAAATCGTAGAAATAAATTTCCAATTATTCAATTGTATTTTCGAGATTTTATTTAAGGCGTTCGGAATTTATATAGTGACAATTTTGTACTTCTGCTTTGATTATTATCTCGTTCTGGTGAATATATTTATTGTCGGTCAGTTCGACATCCTGAAGGACAGATTTGAGGATATTTATAGGAATCGACGAGAAAAAATCTCGGGGGATGGCATGGGCTCTGCCCTCATGGAGTTCAAACAATGCGTCATGCAGCACCAGTTCCTCATAAAACTTGTGAATGATGTCGAGAGTCTTTATAAGATCATGAATTTGTTTCAATTACTCGTGTACAGTTTCGTCATCTGCATGGTCAGCTATCAATTACTTACGGTGAGAGAATTTTATTAAATTAAAAAAACAGTATTCTATTTATAAAATAAAATTCTACTGAATTTCTCTCGCAAAATCCTTCAGTTCTCTGTCGATTTTCGATTTTATTAAAAATTTTGCAGTTTTTCTGGTCTTAAATAAAAATAAATAAACATAAATTGTTTCATGCAAAAAGTCAGAGTTTAAAATTTCAATTGAAGTTTTTTATTTGAAAGGTTTTAATTTTCTGAAGTTCTTCGGGATTTTTTTTATTAACGATTTATTAAAAATTTTGCTGTTTTTCTGTTCTTAAATAAAAATAAATAAATATAAATTGTTTCATGCAGAAAGTCAGAGTTTTAAATTTCAATTGAAGTTTTTTATTTGAGAGGTTTTAATTTTCTGAAGTTCTTCGGGATTTTTTTATTAACAAAAGAGAATAGAAAAGCGTTCAGGGAAATTGGAGTGAAGAAAAATGGATTGTTTTTTAATGCACAGGATTTATTCACTCGACCAGACGTAATTAATAAAATTAATGAATCAAGGCGACAAATGCTTTTTTCGTCTTCAAATTTGCGTCATTCGGAACTGGAAATCTTCTGCAGCTGTTCGCCATCACTTTGACATGTCACAATATCAAAATCGCGAGTGAAGAAGTGGCGGTTGGAATTTATCGCTCGAGCTGGTACCACGAGAATTTTTCCAAGAAGGGACGCGAGTTATCCAGGAATTTCCTCCTCGTCTTCATGAAGACGCAGTACCCTTGCTATTTATCAGGATGTGGATTCTTCCCAATTACTCTAGACACTCTTAAATCGGTAATTATCTCGCTCAATCCTTCTCAGAAAATAAAAATGCAAATGCAATAATTTTCTCTTCACGGCTTTAGAATTTTCATTTCATCATTTACAGGCGAATAAAATGGATTAATAATTAATTATGAATGATTAATGATTAATTCGATAAAATTGCACATTCCAGAATTCCGGAGAAAATAATTAAATCTCCTTTTTTTTTTCAGATCATCACCACGGCATTCTCGTATTTGACATTAATAAGGGAAAGCATGAAGTAGATATTTTTACAATTAATTGTTGACTATTGATTATTGGAGAATTTGTTGTTGTAAAAGTTTTACTTTATTCACACCTGTTGAAAAATATGGATTTATTCTCGACTAGACTGAAAAGCCACTAATATTTACATAAAAATCAGTTTTTTTTTCTAGCCGATCGTTGTTTTTTGTCAGCCGATCGATTCTTTTCTACTAGAAATTCAAGAGTTTGTCAAATAATTTTTCTAAAAGCGTGAGGAGCAGGTGAGGACGATCAGACGATAAAAACACTGACCAAGTGTTCGTATTGTCCGATCGTCTTCTAGTTTTATCATACATCTACTTTATCAGTCTCATCAGATTCTTCTCGTTTCTTCGATCTCAGACCAGTCAATTCATCGGGGGATTCCCCTTCCCGTTCCTTGCACTCGTTCCACGGCTGTACATCAGCTGTTCCCCAGAACTGATAAGCAATCGCACTGATTCCCAGATTTGCTGCTGCTATCATAAACACCAGGCGCCATTGTTCTATCGTTTGCTGAAATACCGATAAAATATTAATGACAAAATCTCGAAGATAATTACAAAACTTCGAAAATCGTGAAAAAATTTCGAGTTCGCGGATTTCGACGCCAGTTTTTTACCGATATCTCGGAATTGAAGGTACATAGCGAATTTTTTGTAGAGGCGTTTTTTGTAGAAAAAAATGAGGACTAAAAAAAAGGTACCTATGCAAATATCGCTATCTTCCTGCAATTCCGAGTTATCGGCAAAAGATCGGTATGAAAAAATGCATTTTTCGTAGTTTACCCTTTTGTAGAGAAATTATTCGATAAAAATCGTCAGCTGAAGTCTTATTTAAGCTTCAGGGCTTAAATTAATATAAATTAATTTGCAGACTTGACGTTAATTACCCTGTGATTAGTGAGAATTCCCACAATCAATGGAGATATGAATCCCGCGCCAGTCGTCACTAATCCACAGAATCCCAACAGGACACTCGCAAAATTGGGACTCAGATCGACGAATACAGCGAGTGTACCCGCTGACACAGCACCATTGATAGCAGTTCCTGCCATCATGAAGATGATGGCAAGAATGGGCTGACATCCACTGAAACTCAACCCCAGGGTGAAGAGTGCTCCACCCCCAGTTGTCACGAAATTCGCGAGTTTTCTCACGTTTTTATGAGACATTCTCTGAGTTCGCAGGAGCCAATCGCTGAAGATTGAATAAATGTAGGAGAAAATCATGCGAAGAACGTGGGGAAGCCCCGACAAGAGTCCAGTCTGGAATTATTAAATATTTTTTTAAATAAAATCGGTAAGAATGATAATCGATGATTATTAATTAATTCTAAGGAAAATTAATCGAGTTACTGCGTTTATGTTCCATCCGTGGACGAAGTTGAAGTACGATGGGGCTTGTGTCATGAAAGTTAGGAAACCCCAGACCCCACCCCAGTGGGCGATTATTGTGATCCAAACTGGCCCTGACAGGAGCAATTCCTTCCAGGGGACTTTGACGTTCTGGGAAGTGGACACTGTGTCTCCTAGACTCTCCACGATGTGATTGAACTCGTTCTCGTGGATTCTTGGGTGCTCCTTGGGGGTGTCGTACACCAGGAAAAACCAGAAACAGTACCTGGAGGATAAATTCGTTTTTCCTAAAATTCTATTGGAATAATTATTACAGAATTTTTCTATCAGGAATTTTCCGACGATTTTTCTTCGATTTTCTAAGGAAAGGGAGAGAAATGGAGGAAGAATCGTGGGGAATCGAAAGCGAAGGAATAAATAATTTGTTATAAATGGAAAATATTTTTTAAAAATGATAAATTTTACCAGATGATACCGATGATGGAGGTGATATAAAAAGCTGCTCGCCAGTTGATCCAGTCGATGATAAACGCACAAAGGGGATACGTAACAGCAGCTCCAACAGAACTCCCTACAATAACAATAAATAAAAAAATCTAATAAACTACAAGCGTCTCACCTAAATAAGCGCTGACGAATTTGCTCCTCTCCATCGGTGGAATCCATTTAGCTGTCATGTCGTGCATCGAAGGCCATATGACCCCCTGGAACAATTATCATTGTTACAATTTTACAAATGAAATTAAATAAAATAAATAAAAAACGGAAGCTCACCGAAATGAACCCCTGAAGGGCTCGGATGGCGACTAATCCGTAGAGATGATGCTCAGTTGCAAAAGGTATGAGAAGACCTAGAGCAGCGGTCGCGAGGTTTCCAACACCAAAAACCATTTTTGTTCCGTACCTTCGGGCTAATAGACCCCCAGGCAATTGTGTCAACCAGTGGAACCAGTAGTAAGCACCGAGGGCTAGACCCTGATCGTATTCACTCCAATCGAACAAATTATCAGTCTGAAATCGATTTTTTTATTGGAAACCACTCAAAAATTTATGTCTAGATATTTTTCCCTTTGGATTTATAATTGAATAATAAAATAATTTAATAATTTTTCATGATTATTATTCATTGACTAGACAATTTTTAATTAATTACAAAATTTTTACGACAATGAATGATAATTATAAAAAAATATTGAATTATTCAATTGTTATTCAATTATTATTAAATGATAATTGAAAAATCAATCGCAGAAATTGATTGCAATAAATGGAATTTCAAATAGAAATGGAATATAGAAATATTGTTGTTCATAAAAACAAATATATAAATATTAATATAATAATAATTTATTTATATATTTTATTGAAAAATGGAGTCTTCAGGTCTTGAAATTCTAATGATTAATTATATTGATGTTAGATTAATTATGTTTGGGAAAAGATTGAGTGATAAATTTGAATGTTTAATTTTAGGATTATTATGAAAATTGTTACCGTTAATTTTTGAGAAATCGTTGAAGTCATCGTGTAGAGAGATTTGTTGGAGGGACTGCTCCCCGGAATTTTTTGGAGAGAGCATTCCGCCATCGCAGGTCCTTTGGTCCTTGGGATCACCATCGCCACGATTGCCAGATTGAGATTTATCCTGAGCATGTAATTTATTGCGAATCCACAAAACACCAGAATCCAGAGGACATCTCGACACGTGAGTATTTCTCTTCCTGTTCGTCGAAAAAATTTAATTAGTCCCATGAGTCAGTGGTTCAATGCATAAAATTGTCTCTTTTATCTCAGGCTTTATCTCTTCTTATCAATTTTAATTTTGATGATTTTTTAATTTGTGTTGTGATTCTATAAATAAACAGCATCTGCTGAGATTTTTTTTCTTCTTCGCATTTTTAATTATTAATTAATCAGGAAATTAAATTAATTGTGAGAAGATCGAAATAGGAATTACTGGAATAGAAGATGAATTAATCAGTGGATGATGATTTTTTAATTTATGTTGGAATTCAAATTGAAAAAGAGAAAATAAACAAAATTTTTCGTTTTTTCTTTCTTCTTCATATTTTTCATTACTAATTACTCAGAGAACTAAATTAATAATGATAATACCGAAAAGATAATTACACTAATTGAGAAGATGAATTAATCATTAAATGCCGATGATTTCAAGATTTCCATAAAAGTTTAAATGGAAAAAGAAGAGAAAATAATCGATACCTTCTAGTATTCTCTTTCTTCTTCGCATTTTTAATTATTAATTAATGAGGAAATGAAATTAATTGTGATAAAATCGAAGGGATTACTGTAATAGAAGATGAATTAATCATTAGATGCCGATGATTTCAAGATTTCCACAAAAATTTAAATTGAAAAAGAATAGAAAATAAACGATAAGTTTTTTTTCTTTGTTTTTTAATTTTAAATTCGTAATGACCCATTGAACGTGGATCAATGACGATAAGACCAGTGGGAATAACTCATCATTGAGAATATGAATAAATCGTCAGATGAGGAAGCTAGTGGAAAATTCAATTTGACAATTCATGCACGAGGACGATTCCATCTGACCCTCAAGCGCACGGATATCAGTGATGTCATTGAAATTTATTATCCCAAGGGGTGCGAGATGATGCTATTATTCCACTGATAGCACATCATTCGATCGCACGGAGATTTGAATTTATTTTTGGATTGCATGGAGATTATAAATAGTCTCTAGCAAATCCTCTTTCAATCCATTATCTCCTGCCATCATCTAAGTCTCAACAATTGTAATATCCAATTTCACCAGATGCACCAGATAATTCCGTAGAAATATCAATATCTATTATTTATTTATAATTTTTTTCTCGCGTAAAAAAAAAGACAATGGTAGCGTCAAAGGAAAATTCATTGAATATTTATAATTTTTCGATATTTTTAATAGCTGAAATAGTTTTTAATGATATTTTCATTGAAATCAAAAGTTATTAACAAATATTACGATTTTTGTTATTAAAAATCGTTTTTTTATTAGATCTTCATTAACATTTGATTGAAATTTCATGTTTTTGATATTAAAAATTTTAATATCTCTTAAAAAATGATGAATAAACAAAATCTGGTGCTGATAAAAAATGGAGAGTCCAATGGATTTTCGATTTTCTCAAATCCTGTGATATCATGTCTGATAACAGAAGGAGCAATGACCAAAAATCGGAAACAAGAAATTTCGATTTCCTCGATTATCATTCAATCCATGCATCGATTGAACCTCTCAATTACTGACAACTTCTGTAATTAATAATTATAATCAATCATTAATTACTCATGAGTGTTTTAACATTTAGAAATCGTATTCTCACCCATTTTATGTTAATATCTCTGAAAGGAGAAAATTTATTCCACGAGCATCACTAGATTATTAATTGGATAATTGATTTAGGTTGAATTATTGATAACAATTATCAATCACTGGTTATCACTCTCAACTACTATCACTTGGAGATCAGGGAGTTGAAGTCTTTCGGGAATTTGGAACTGGATGGAACTGCTGGGAGCTCTTGCTGGATGACACCCCGAGATCGACTGACTTCTCTGTACTAGATGTTATATTTAATAATTGGAAATTGGTACTTCATACTGGGGTATCTCAATGGATTCTACGGCATCTCGTTATTTATGGTATTTAAGCTCGGATTTGTTTTAATGATGAAATGTTAAATAAGATTGGGGCTTCTGGGGGAAGATATCGTAATCACGCGATTATCACTGGGTTTATTGGGATAACGAGTTATTGACATGTACTCTGAATTTTGATAACGCAGGTTTAATTATCTCTGGATATTTTACTCCTCTCGGTATTTTTGTATTGTTCTTTCAATTATTTATGGGAATTGGAATTTTATCCAGATGTTTGGAATTTATTTTTACGGTTTTATGCTACGATCGCCGTTTTTTAAACAATTTTATGTTACAAAAAGGCTTTTAGTAATTATTATAATTATGTTGCACTCTCAATAGAATTTTCTCATGATTCTATTTGGAATATTAATTACAATTGTTAATGTTTTATGCAAAATTCTCTGATATGGCATTAACAATAAATTATTGCGCAGAAATGCGAAAAAAAAATGAACAAAATTGTTTGATAATTAAAAAAACCAGTGCCCACTAATTATTATTGTTGCATTGAGATATTGATAAATACATTAACAAATGAATTTAACATTAAATAATATAAACAAGAATAATCAATTTCTGATGCTCCAATTCCCTAAAAAATCGTTGAAGCTAAAAAATTCCAAGAAAACTGTGAAAAATAGAACGTAAACAATTTTCCATTACGCAAAAGAGAGTTTTCAGTAATTATTATAATAACATTGACTGAATGTTTAATTTCTCGTACATAAAAATATAAAAAAATCGACCACCCACGAACTGCAACAATAACTAATCATTACAGTAATTATAAAAGCATTGATAAATAAATTAACAATAATAAATGTCATATTCTTGAATATAAATAACAATAATAAATTTCGAAGTCCCTAAACGCCTAAAGAAATCGAATTGAGCGAAAAAAAATCCAAGAAAAATGCATAACAGAAACAGTAAACAATTGCATCAACAAAAAAGTCAATGTCCAGTAATTATTCTAATTGCGCTGGATCTCAATGCCGACATCAATACACAAGTGAATAAACAAATATAAAAATAGTCGAGCACTCACACACAGCAGCTCTGAATTATCAGATGAATTGTCAGGGTCACGATGCATCACTACACGAAAGAAAACGATCGTGCACGATTCATTCTGGAGTGAATGCTGTCAATCAGTTGGAAATTGTGTGCCACCAGTGAAGACTGCGTTAAAAATGTGGACGATCCTGGGAGGAGTTCTGGTGCTAGTGCTGCTGTACGTCATCCTCAAAGAGGACAACTACTTCAAGGACTACGGGATCCCCCACCTCAAGCCACTTCCTATCCTGGGTAACATGGGAGGTACGTTCACCAGACGAATTTCCTTCTTCGACTTGATCCAAAAAATCTACGACCTCAACAGGAACGCGAAGTACGTCGGCGTCCACGACTTCAACACTCCAATAATAATGATCCGTGATCGAGAGCTAGGGAAGATCATCACCGTGAAGTCCTTCGATCACTTCGTCAATCACCGGAAATTTATTGATCCCAACCTAGATCCCCTCTTCGGTAACCTCATATTCTCCCTGAAGGACGACCACTGGAGGAGGATCAGGAACCTGATAAGTCCGGCTTTCACATCAAGCAAGATGAAAGCAGCCTTCAAACTAATCGCTGATTGTGCATCAAATTACGCTGATTACTTCGCCGAGGAGTCACGATTAAAACCTCTGGAGTGCAACACCAAGGACGCCTTCACCAGGTACACAAATGACGTGATAGGTACGTTTGCCTTTGGGGTGAGCATCGATTCAATCAGAAATCGAGAGAACGAGTTCTATATCCTGGGTAAGAAATCGACGAGTTTCGAGGGAATGGCAATGGTGAGGCTGACACTCATGCGATTTGTTCCTAGATTTTGCAAATTGTTTAATATCAAATTTGCAACTGATGATGTTCGTCATTTCTTCACGAATCTTGTTAAGGAGACGATTGCAATGCGGGACGAGAAGGGAGTGTCAAGGCCTGATCTGATACAACTCATGATGGAGACGAGGAATGATAAGGATGGGAAAAAATTGAGTGTCTTGGAGATGACGTCTCAGGCGTATGGATTTTTTTTCGCTGGTTTTGACACTTCGTCGACGCTCATGTGCTTCGTAGCCCAGGAAATCGCTGAGAAGTCTCACGTCCAGGAGAAGCTCCAGAGGGAGGTCGATGAGGTGTTTGAGGAGCATCAGGGCGATCCTCCGTATGAAGCTATCAATAATATGGTTTATCTTGATGCTGTTATCAATGAGGCACTCCGGATGTATCCTGTGGCACCTTTTCAGGATAGACTCTGCAATTCTGAATTCGAATTGCCACCAGCACTTCCCGGGGAGAAACCTCTGGTATTGAAACCTGGGGATGTCGTTTGGCTTCCCATTTATTGTATTCATAGGGATCCGGAGTATTTTGATAATCCTGAAGTATTCGATCCTGAACGATTTGTTAAGGGGGATAAGTCCTCGGCGTTTGCTGTTAATTCTATGACGTTTGGACAGGGACCTAGGGCCTGCATTGGAAATCGATTTGCTATTTTGGAGACTAAGATATTGTTCGCGTATTTGTTGAGGAAGTGCAGGCTCACACCTGGCAGCAAGATGATTACCCCCATGAGGATCAGCAAGTCCAGTTTTATTATGAAGGCTGAGGGTGGCTTCTGGGTGGAGTTTCAACCGAGGAGCCAAGAATCGGAATCCCAACATTGAGATTATATGTTATTATTGGGACTTTTTGGTATTGAAAGCGATTTTTTTTTGAGTAGTTTTGCAGATTGAATTTTTAGTTTTTAATTAAGAAAAATCATGATCAGGTATTTAGAGGGAAATTTCAGGGAATTTTGGGGAAATTCGGGTGGAAATTCAGTGAAATTAATTTTGGGGGACTTGGAAAATTATTGATTATTAAAATACAGATTTTTTTGTTGTTGTTGAATATTTAATTGTTTATTATGAAAATAAAATGGATGATAATGATGTATTTATTGTGTCCTGAGAAATTATTCGGGAAAATTCAATTTGAGATGTTTTGAAATTAATTATCTGGAGATTGGGGCAATTATGAGTGATTAAAATATAGATTTTGTTGTTATTGTTGACTTTTTAATGTTTAATTAAAATATAATGTTAAAAAAAATCATATTCATAATTACACACTCCGTACTGAGAAATTCATTAAAAATTCCGTTGAATCTCCGATTAAAGAAACCAATTAATCAAAAAATTAATTGAATTAAACAATATTTAATTAAGTAACTAATTCCCTGATTATCTGGAATAATTTTGAATATCGCTCCAAGATTTTCCGATTGAAATAAATTTCCCAGGGGCTTTTCCCTTTCCTGAATTTCCCAAATTTTCCAAAAGATATTTTTATTTAATTAATTAATTAAATATTAATTAATTCTCATCAATAAAATCTCTCAAAAATGAGTCGAAACATTGAAAAACCGATCAACAATAAAAAAAAACGAATTCTATCGATTTCTTCGATTTTCTATCGAAACAAAAACGCGAAAAATGTGGAAACATAATTTTCTCTCAATTTTCCGGGGAACAATTTTCAAATTGCGCTTACAGTTGCAATCAGGAGATACATTGAATCGTAATGAGTTTTTTTTCTTAATCACCTATCGGAAATTTATTTGTTCCTTTTTTAACCACTACAACAACAATATCGATTAGATAAATCCACATTGACGAAGATAAGACGATTTTTCCACGCGTACTTCATATCGATCACTCAATTTATCGACTCATCAAGATCGACAACTTCGCATTATTATCACGAGAAAATGCGTCACAATCTCTCCACAGAAATAAACAATTGAAACAAATAAAAAGTAACAATTAAATTACCTCCAGAAATTAATTGTCTCAGGTAAATCGATTGTCTCCTCACATTTTTTATTTGCGAATTCAATTTAATTCGATTTAATTAATCAATTGAATTTTATTGATTGAATTCTATTAATAGAATATATTATCATTCTATTGGTAATTTATTTATTTATATTTTTTAATCGCTCAACGATTATTTTTAACGGAATGCACTCTAGTGCACAATCAGAAGAATCGATACGATAAGCAACTGATATGCGTTTTAAAAAATTGATTTTTCTATTTTTTCCGGAGATGTAGATTGAAATAATTTTCTGCGCCATGCGTATCGGAAAAGAAATGTGAGAATTTCAAGAAAATTTTCAGTAGTAGAGTACTAATAGAAATGATTGAGAGACTGGAATGATGCCTAATTGTGCAACACTTCGTCATTATTTCTACGAATTTAAACATCAGAGATACCGCTTGAAGGTGAGACTCATGGTCTCTGTGTATTGGAGTACATGGACGTGAAAATTGCGTGTATGTGTCAACAGATTGCCAGTCAGTGCGATATTAGATACCAGTGGATAACAATCTCTATTGGATGTGCCAATCAGCCGGTGCGATGGACCCCTGGACAATCCTCTGGACAACAGCTCTGTTGCTGTTTCTGTACTACTACTTCACAGGAGGTGATAATTTCTTCGATAAAAATGGAATTCCCTACATCAAGCCATTTCCCTTCCTGGGGAACATGGCCCAGACGATATTTCGCCAGAGAACAATGACGGACACCATCCACAGGACATTCAAATTGAACGAGAACGCCAAGTACGTGGGGTTCTTCGATTTTGGTTGTCCAGTGGTGATGATTCGTGATCAGGAGCTCGCTAAAAACATCACCGTCAAGTATTTCGCTCATTTCGTTAATCACCGGGGCTTCGTTGATCCCGAACAGGAGCCCCTCTTCGGGAACAATTTATTTACACTCCACGACGATCACTGGAGATCAATCAGAAATCTCCTGAGTCCTGCCTTCACCTCCAGCAAGATGAAGGGAATGTTCAGGCTCATGTCTGAATGCGCCGCCTCCTACGCCGATTATTTCGCTGACGAATCCCGAGATAAACCCCTGGAGGTAGATTCCAAGGACGCATTCACCCGTTACACTAACGACATAATCGCTATTTGTGTTTTTGGAATAAAAATCGATTCAGTAAGAAATCGAAATAACGAATTCTACATTATGGGTAAGAGAGCAACGAATTTCGAGGGTCTTAAGTCGCTGAAGTTTTTTGCTGTCAGGAGTTTTCCGAGGCTGGCGAAATTACTGAATATCAAGTTCATGTCCAGTGATGTCGAGATCTTTTTCAAGAAGCTGGTGAAGGAGACGATCGAGACGAGGGATAAATTGGGGATTACTAGACCGGATCTAATCCAGCTGATGATGGAAACGAGGGACAATAAGGAGGGCCCCAAGCTGACGATCGAAAACATGACCTCGCAGGCTTTTCTCTTCTTCTTCGGGGGCTTTGACACCTCCTCGACGATCATGTGCTTTCTCGTTCACGAGGTGGCTGCCAGGCCAGAGGTTCAGGAGAAACTCCAGAGGGAAATCGATGAGGTGTTTGAGGAACACGAGGGAGATCCTCCGTATGAGGCCATCATGAATATGGTATACCTGGAGGCTGTCGTCACTGAGGCACTCAGGCTTCATCCCAATGCTGCTTTCGTGGACAGGGTCTGCAATAAGGACTTTGAATTGCCACCTGCTCTACCTGGGCAGAAACCTGTTGTCCTGAAACCTGGAAATACTGTGTGGATTCCTATGTATTCTTTTCAACACGATCCTAAGGTCTATCCTGATCCCCAGGTGTTCGATCCTGAACGGTTCATCAAGAATGGAAAGACAATTGCTAATTCAAGTAATTCTCTGACCTTTGGACAGGGACCCAGAATGTGCATTGGAAACAGATTTGCACTTTTGGAGATTAAAGTACTTTTGGTTCATATCTTGAGGAAGTGCTCGATCAGGCCCGGCAAGAAAATGATTCTCCCGTTGAGATTGAGCAAGGCCACTGTTGGCATGGCTGCTGAAGGTGGATTTTGGATTGAATTTCGCCAAAGGGACATCTGAAATTATAAATTCCTGCGGAAACTAGAATAATATCAAATTGGGCATCAGGGGCGGAAATGTACTTTATGTCATAGGGCCCCAATTACGGAAAAATCAGAGAAAATAAAATGTACAGTTCAGAAAATTCTCTTGTCAGGTGAATATGTAACTGTTATGTACTTTTCATAATAAATATATAAAGCATATAATAAAGAATAATTAACATTTTTCCCTGAAAATTCCAACGAATTTACAATAACAAAGAAATTTAAAAAAAAAATTCCATTCCCACAGTTAATATTTTTCCGTGCAGCCGTGTTGAAAATTAATTTTCGAAACGTTTAAGTTTGTTACAATCGATCACGCAATTCGTTGACCCATCGATAAACGACTCCCATCACAATCTCAATCCACATCTTCGCGTTGTTGTTGCGATCCATTGCGCCAGAATCTCTCAGAAAAATTATCTTTAATTCAATTCCTCAATTAAATAATATGTATTAAATTATATTATTATTATATAATAATATTACTCTAATATTATTATTAATGGCAGCATCATTCAAATAATGATTATTCTTTTATGTTATTTTTCATTGATTTATTAAATTATTTTTTGATTGTTCAATCATGATTTTTATTTGAATGCACTCTAGCGCACAATCAGAAGAATCGATGGGATAAGCAACTGATATGCGTTTTAAAAAATTGATTTTTCTATTTTTTCCGGAGATGTAGATTGCAATAATTTTCAGCGCCACGTGTACTGGAAAAATCCAATGGATTTTCAATGAATTACCATTGCAAATTACAATCGCCAGATGAATACTAATAGGAGCAATTCACAAACACGAATGATGACAAATTGTGTAGCACTGAGTCATTATTGGCATGAATGATAAACATCCTCAAACGAGTGCGGCAGTTTGAAGATTAAAATTTATCTTGTGGTCTCTGTATTGAAGTGCATGAACATGAAAACCTCGTGTATCAACGGATTCTCAGTCAGTGCGATATTAGATGCCAGTGAATAACAATCTCCATTGGATGTGACAATCAGCTGGTGCAATGGACCCCTGGACAATTCTCTGTACGACAGCTCTGTTGCTGTTTCTGTACTATTACTTCACAGGAGGTGATAATTTCTTCGATAAAAATGGAATTCTCTACATCAAGCCAATTCCCTTCCTGGGGAACATGGCCCAGACGATATTTCGCCAGAGAACAATGACGGACACCATCCACAGGACATTCAAATTGAACGAGAACGCCAAGTACGTGGGGTTCTTCGATTTTGGTTGTCCAGTGGTGATGATTCGTGATCAGGAGCTCGCTAAAAACATCACCGTCAAGTATTTCGATCATTTCGTCAATCACCGGGGCTTCGTTGATCCCGAACAGGAGCCTCTCTTCGGGAACAATTTATTTTCACTCCACGACGATCGCTGGAGATCAATCAGAAATCTCCTGAGTCCCGCCTTCACCTCCAGCAAGATGAAGGGAATGTTCAGACTCATGTCTGAATGCGCTGCAACATATGCTGATTATTTCGCTACTGAATCCCGAGATAAACCCCTGGAGGTAAATTCCAAGGACGCATTCACCCGGTACACCAACGACACAATCGCAACTTGTGCTTTTGGAATAAAAATCGATTCAATCAGAAATCGAAATAATGAGTTCTACGTTCTGGGCAGGAGAGCAACGAATTTCGAGGGTCTTCGGTCGGTGAAGTTTTTTGCTGTCAGGAGTTTTCCAAGGTTGACGAGATTACTGAATATCAGGCTCATCTCTAGTGACGTTGATGTCTTCTTCAAGAAGCTGGTGAAGGAAACGATCGAGACGAGGGATAAATTGGGGATTACTAGACCGGATATGATACAGCTGATGATGGAGACGAGGGGCAGTAAGGAGGGACCCAAGCTGACGATCGAGGACATGACCTCGCAGGCTTTTATCTTCTTCTTCGGGGGCTTTGACACCTCGTCGGTTCTCATGTGCTTTGTTGTCCACGAGGTTGCTGCCAGGCCAGAGGTCCAGGAGAAACTCCAGAGGGAAATCGATGAGGTGTTTGAGAAACACGACGGAGATCCTCCGTATGAGGCCATCGTGAATATGGTGTACCTGGAGGCTGTCATCACTGAGGCACTCAGGCTTTATCCCATTGCTGCTTTCCTGGACAGGGTCTGCAATAAGGACTTTGAATTGCCACCTGCTCTACCTGGGAAGAAACCTGTTGTCCTGAAACCTGGAAATAATGTGTGGATTCCTGTGTATTCTTTTCTACAGGATCCTAAGGTCTATCCTGATCCCCAGGTGTTCGATCCTGAACGGTTCATCAAGAATGGAAAGGCAATTGCTAATTCAAGTAATTCTCTGACCTTTGGACAGGGACCCAGGATGTGCATTGGAAACAGATTTGCACTTCTGGAGACTAAAGTACTTTTGGTTCATATCTTGAGGAAGTGCTCGATCAGGCCTGGCAAGAAAATGATTCTTCCGTTGAGATTGAGCAAGGCCACTGTAGCGATGGCTGCTGAGGGAGGATTTTGGGTCGAGTTTCGCCCGAGGAGTATCTGAAATTATAAATTCCCGCGGGAACTAATAGAAATTGAATTTCAAATTGTAAATTGAGATAATTACTTTTTTTCCAGACCAGATTTTCGGCGATATCTCGGAACTGCAGGGACATATCGATTTTTTTGTAAAGACATTTATTATACAAAAATATGAGAGCTATAAAAAAGGTTGTTATGGAAATATCGTTATCTCCCTTCAATTTCGAGATATCGAGGAAAAACTGGTCTAAAAAAAAATGTATTCATCCCAGTTTACGAATTCGAAAAAAAATTGTAATTCAAATTTTGGAAAATTGCAACTCCCAGAAGAAAAATCAAAGAAAATAAAACTAAAAGTTCAGAAAATTCTTTTCTTGTGTAAATATATATCTGTTATGTACTTCTCATAATAAATATATAAAACATAATAATAAATACTCAACATTTTTGCTAGAAAATTTTAATGAATTTATTATTAAAAAAAAAAATCCTCTACCTACCACAGCATCTACAACTTGAACAAAGACGCCAAGTAGTTCCGGAGATACTTTTAATATTTATATAAATTATATAAATATAATAATAATATATATAAATTAATAATAATAAATGGAATAAAGTAAATAAAAAAATGATGTATCGAAGTTCAATGATCTTTATCATCTATTTATTCATCTCTACAATTACTCACTACCACCAAGGCATTAACAAAAGTTAAAATTATAACAATAAATTACTACATCCTACAATAAATAATCTAAAGTACACACTTAGCCTAATGAAATCTTTGGTAAAAACACTCGATGACTGATGAATGGCGTCGATATCTGTGAATAAATTCCGATCTCTGAACCCCATAATTGGCAGTTGATTATTATAAATTGCATAAACATAAAAAACAAAATGAATGTAAATGTTCATTTTGTACCAAAAATATCAATAAATCACTCGGGAAAATTCAAATAATAAATAAACAATATAATCCATAAGCCATCCCTGACGAATCACTCGATTGAGGGATCGAATCGTTCCTTACTTCGAGTATTAATTGATCACCGATCAATCAATAATTTCGTTCGACCAATAATCGATTATCCATCGATTGACAATCGATCGAGATCGACCAACAATCGACTTGCGATCAATCGAATGAATAAATTGATGAATTAATCAAGTTATCATCGAGTATTGATTGATCATCGATCAATTAATAATTTCGTTCGACCAATAATCGATTATCCATCGATTGACAATCGATCGAGATCGACCAACAATCGACTTTCGATCAATCGAATGAATAAATTCATGAATGAATCAAGTTATCATCGAGTATTGATTGATCATCGATCAATTAGTAATTTCGTTCGACCAATAATCGATTATCCATCGATTGACAATCGATCGAAATCGACCAACAATCGACTTGCGATCAATCGAATGAATAAATTGATGAATTAATCAAGTTATCATCGAGTATTGCTTGATCATCGATCAATTAATAATTTCGTTCGACCAATAAT